AAACTATATCAATCATGAATATTTAATTGTATGATTTAAATGCACAGCTATGAGATGTTAAACTATGCCCATCAGTTATATTTTAAATCAGCCTGTAGCTTTAAGAAAACATAGACTCCTTTAATTCAGATATCATCCAAATGAGTTAGAATAAGCATAAGATTATAAGAACTGAAATACCCAACTACACAAACTCTCTGTCTATAAAGTGAACACAATCCTTGCCATTTGCAAAGATTGGCATTATATAAAAAACAAAAGATAACATTTCTTAAGGTTTTAGGATTAATAAAACCAAAAGACAAGCCAAAATAAAGAGCTCAGAAATGGAGCAGCCATAGTAAAAAAAATAGTAACAGTGAGCATTCAATCCATTTAAATGTAGAAATGAGGCTAAACAAGTAAGGGCATTATTAAAAGAGAAGAAAACATAATAATCTGGAAAAAATAATGTAACAAAAATGAGATATAAGGAGAGGAAGGAATACACATGTAAATTCTAGAAATAACAATAAACTGAAAATAGGAGGAAGAGAAGAAGAAGAAAATGTGTAATTTTAATTAGCAGGGTTTCTTTTTTTTTTTTTTTGCAGTCAGAGTCTCACCTGTCGCCCAGGGCGGAGTGCAGTGGCATGCTCACGGCCACCAAGCCTCAATCTGCTGGGCTCAGGCGACCCTTCCGCCTCAGCCATCCCAGTAACCGGAACTATAGATACACTCCACCATGCCCAGCTACTTTTTTTATTTATTGTAGAAACAAGGTCTCGCCAAGTTGCCCAGGCTGGTCTCGAATCTCTGGGCTCAGGCAGTCCTCTTGCCTTTGCCTCCCAAAGTGCTAGGAATACAGATGTGAGCCACCACGCTCAGCCTGATAGCAGGGTTTCAACAGATACCCTCAAAAGCTGATAAGTGAAGTTGGAGATTTAATAGCACTAATTAAAATGAACACTTGAAAAACTAAAGCCAGGGATGTCCTCACCAGAGCAATATGGCAAGAGAAAAAAATAAAAGTCATCCAAGTTATAAAAGAGACAGTCACATTATCTCTGTTCATTGATAATATGATCTTAAATCTAGAAAACACTAAACCCTCCACCAAAAAACTTAGGTTTGATAGATGAGTTCAGTAAAGTTCAGGAAACAAAACTAACAAAGATCAGTAGTATTTCTATATACCAATAATGATCTAGCCAAATCAAGAAGGCAATCCTGGCTAGGTGCAGTGACTCACACCTGTAATCGCAATGTTTTGAGAGGCTGAGGCAGTAGGATCACTTGAGGCCAGGCGTTAAAGACCAGAGCCTGTCTCTACAAAAAATTTAAAATTTAGCCAGGCATGGTGGCAAACGCGTGTAATCTTTAACTACATAGGAGGCTGTGGTAGGAGAATTGCTTCAGCTCAGGAAGGCAAGACTGTGTGACAGAGTAAGACTCTGTCTCTCAAAAAAAGAGGGCAATTCCACTTATAATCATTACAAAAAAATAAATTCCTAGGCATCTATTTAACCAAGGAGGCGAAAGATCCCTATAAGGAGAACTACAACACACCAATAAAAGAAGCCATAGAAGACACCAAAAAATGGAAAAGCTCATGGGTTGCAGAATCAGTATCATCACAATGACCATACTACCCAAGCAGTCTCCAGATTCGGTGCAATCCCTGTCAGATTATCAATGCCGTCTTCACAGAGTTAGGATAACAATTCTAAAATTCATATGGAACGATAGAGCATGAATAGCCAGAGCAATCCCAAGCAAAAAGAACAAGGCTGGTGGCAACACATTACCTGCCTTCAAATTGTACTACAAAGCTATAGTAACCAAAGCAACGTGGTACTGGAATAAAAACAGATACATAGATCAGTGAACAGAATAGCAAACCGAGAAATAAAGCCATAAACCTACAACCAACTGATCCTCAGCAAAGTCAATAAAAGGGTGACAATTAATTTCGTGAACTCACCCTAGAAAAACTACTGCATACCTCATTGCTGAATATCACCACAGTCACCTTCAAAGTACTGCCCTTTGGAAGCCATGTACTGATGCCAGCACCTAGTCCACTTGTCAAAGCAGTTTTGGAACTCTTTTTTTGGAATGGCCATCAGAGCTGTCGTCATGAGAATGTCAGGGTTTGAATTAGAACAGCAAACATTAAATTTTTTGTTAAACTTGGCAAGAACAGACGGGAAATTGGGGACATATTAGTCCAAGTTCAAGGGGATG